ACATGTGGGGCAGTTTTGTGAAAGTCAGTTGGACTTAAACTTGTTCCTAACTTTAAGCATGTGTTTGTACTGTGATGCATAATAGCACATCTAGCCCTGGAAGATCAGAGCATCCTCCATTTGCTGTCCAATTGTAAAGGTGCATCTCTCCAGAATACTTAGTCCTTCGTTTTCCTGTAGGGATAAAAAGGGAGGGAACATATGGTGTGCGTCAAGTGAAAAAGTGATATGATCATCCCTTAACACCTCATTTTAATGAGAAACTTTTACATCTGTGATTACCAACAAAGATCTTTTTTTCATAGGCCACTAAATTTGAGAGGGATATCATGAAGTGGGGTGGATATGTGGATTTGTATGTAAGATGAGAGATGCGGAAGATGTTCCAGGTACTGCAGCCCTTTGGATGTTCGCATTTTACATCCTGGTTGACGGTCTTCCTTTTTATAGTTTTGCGTTTTAACAGCTCCCTTCAGGAGCTTATTAAGCAAGAGGCTTATTCCATCTCCAGATTGCTGGGTGAGTGGAAGTTTGGCAGTGAACAAACAGATTTAGAGTCATTCTGTTCTTGTCTCTGGCTCAGAGTGAGTTATTCTCTTCAGCGTCTCATGTTTCAATTTAGCATCCGTGTGTTTGACTGGGTGAGAGCCATAAAAAGTCATAGCTGTTGTTGGAACTGAGTTGCACGATATGTTTTGTTCTCTCCTCTACCTCTCAGGTGGCCAGAGGCAGCGAGTGAGCCTCGCTCGTGCAGTGTACAGCAACTCTGACACCTACCTATTAGATGATCCTCTGTCTGCTGTGGACTCGCATGTTGCAAAGCACATCTTTGACAAAGTTATTGGTCCAGATGGGGTACTTAAAGGAAAAGTAAGCTGGCATTTAGATCCTCTTAAAAATGCACGCAAACTCAAAAACACTGATGGGTAACAGGAAAGTTATTTCACCACTGAGGCTTGAGTGCTGAATCATTCCTGAATTTCTGTGTTTAACTGGCAATGTGGACACCTTTTCCCCACAGCACAAGACTCTGCAGCGAGCTGCTATTTAGGCATGCCCAGAGTGATGTGATCTAGTCAGAACATGTAGAGGCAGAAACCTGGTCTGTCTTTTCAAATCCTTACTATGAGATCTCCAAAAGCAAGACTGTTGTGGTTTAACCCCAGCTGGCAACTAAGCACCACACAACCATTTGCTCGCTCTGCCCCGAGTTGGGATGGGGGAGAGAATCAGAAGGGCAAACATAAGAAAACTCGTGGGTTGAGAAAAGAACAGTTTAATAATTGAAATAAAATAAAAATAATGATGATAATAATAATAACAATAATAATAATAAATTGTAGTGAAAGGAAAACAACAACAAAAAAAGGAACAAAATCCAGGAAAAACAAATGATGCAACTGACTGACACCCATCCCATCCCCAAGCAGCAGTCACTGCCTCCCCAGCCAACTCCCCCAGTTTACATACTGAGCATGATGCCATATGGTATGGAATAGCCCTTTGGCCAGTTTGGCTCAGCTGTCCTGGCTGTGCCCCCTCCCAGCTTCTTGTGCACCTGGCAGAGCATGGGAAGCTGAAAAGTCCTTGACTCAGTGTAAACACTACTTAGCAACAACTAAAACATCAGTGTGTTATCAACATTATTCTCATACTAAATCCAAAACACAACACTATGCCAGGTACTAGGAAGAAAATTAACTCTATCCCAGCTGAAACTGGGACAAAGACATTTGCAGAAACTTGTAAAGGTTGTCAGTTTAGTATTGCTTGTTGTTACTCGGAGGTAGTGCAGTGAAGAAGTTGTAACAGCTTACTGATTTTACAGAGGTATTTGGTAGCATGCAACCAAATTGCAATTTCTTCTTCCCCTTCTACTCCTGTTATGACCTTCTCAGACTATCTCAGAGCTCAAAAGGGAAGGGCTGCAAAGAAAATCAGCATAAGGGAAGGGGGGGAATGATAATTCAGTTGGTTTACTTCCTTCTGTGGTTCTATCAGCATGCAGTAGGAAGCATAGTAAGCTCATGTACGTATTTCCAAGCTAACAAGGACAGTGTATTTCCCCTGCCATTTTACTTTGACATGATAATTCACTCCCTGTACCAAAAATGTGGTAGTATTTGGCTTGCTGAGTAGTGTTAGTCCCCACAGTGACAACTGAGAGATGTGGGGTTTTTCTCTTTTTCCCTATCTAGACCCGAATTCTGGTGACCCATGGCATCAGCTTCCTGCCTCAGGTAGACCATATAGTTGTCCTGGTAGATGGCAAAATCTCTGAAATGGGATCTTACCAAGACCTTCTGAAACAAAACAAGGCCTTTGCAGAATTCCTGCGAAATTATGCACTTGATGAAGACATCGAAGAGGACGAACCAACAAGTACAGTATTGCTTTTTCTTAAAATGTGTCTTTTTCTGTCAACCAGATTACAGATATTTTCTCTGTATAAAGTGTCCCCTGCTTCTTCATGACAACCTGGCATTTGCCTTTCTGCACTACCATGAAAATTATTGTCTTTGGCCAGGTATGTATTATTGATAAATAGAATCATAGAATCATTTAGGTTGGAAAAGACCTT